GTTCCCCAAGTGAAATTCAGCTGTGGACTCTCGTCAAAATCTAAGCGCCATGCAAGTCTTAAGTGATTTCTGTGGAGGAAAAGATATCATCATTTAAAAGTTCAAGCAGCATCAACCCTTCCCTCCTTGTATGAACAATATGTCAGGTAGTCCAAATCATTTATCATGACAATATTTAAGGAGGAGTTAGAAGGAAAGTCTATTTTGCAACTTAAAATGAATTAGTCAATGTAGGCAAATTCATCATTGCTCTCAACCATCACACACACACAAAAAAACTGATGCTGTGCTGTGGGGAAGAGAGGATTTATAAACCAGGAGTGAGGTCCTGCCTACCAGAGGACACTTCTTTGTGGAGATCTCAGGCAAGTCACCATCATTATGTTGGACCAGGAGGTAAACCCTCAACAGGGGACTTGGTGAATAAGAAGGAAGGGGGGTTCATTCAACTCAAAGTCATTGGACAGGACAGCAGTGAGAGTCACTTCAAAGTGAAAATGACAACAAACCACAAGAAACCCAAAGAATAATGCTAAGATGAGGAGTTCCAATGAACTCACTCAGGCTCCTCTTGGAGGGTCAGAGAATTGCTGATAGTCACACTCCAAGAGAACTGGGGATGGAGAATGAACATGTGAGTGAAGTTTATCAGGAACAAATTTGGGATCACTCAATGGCTTAGATATCCTTTTTATTTTTTCTCAATCTTGTATTGTTAAAAAAAAGTGCTGGCTGCTCACGGGCGGCTTCGGGGCAGCGGCGTCTGCAAAGCCCTGACACTTTAAAACCTGTGGTAATTTGAATTCTAGTGCCCATTATTCATTATTTTTGGTTTTCATTGTGCTGAGTGTCGGTGATCAAGCCTCAGCCTCCTTCATATCGCCCTCTCCTTTTGAAATATTACGTGTGTGCACAGGGAGGCCACCCTTTTCAGGACGGTGCATTTTGAGGCTTGTGATAAATGAGGTGGACCAATGCAAGTGTTCATAATACTTCTAATTGTCCCAGAAGTTCTTGCAATGTGATTGCTTCACTCCTGGACTATGACTTTCTTTTTTTTAAAAAAAAATATTTTTATTGATGTCAGAGAGGGAAAGGGAGAGAGAGATAAAAACATCAATGATGAGAGATAATCATTGGCTGGTAGCCTCCTGCATGCCCTCTACTGGGGATTGAGCCCACAACCCAGGCCTGTGCCCTTGACCTGAATGAAACCTGGGATCCTTCAGTCTACTGGCTGACACTCTATTCACAAAAAGTGATCGTGACCAGGGAGCTCAGTTGGCTGGAGAATGGTAGGGATGTGTTAAGGGCCCAGGTTCAGTTAAAGGCCAGGGCCCATACAATAATTAAACAATGAATGCAGTAACAAGTTGAACAAATCTCTCTCTCTCTCTCTCTCTCTCTCTCTATTCTCCCCATTCCTCTAAGTCTAAAAGGCAATTAATAAATAGACTATATGTATATATATTAAAAAAGAGTGGCCTGTGTGGCTTAGTTGGTTGGAGCGTTGTCCCACGCACCTCAAGGTCACAGGTTCCATCTGGGATGGTGTCAGGTAAGAGAAGCAACTAATTCCGGTATCTCTGTCACATTGATGTTTCTCTGGCACTCTCTCTCCTTCCCTCCCTAAAAATATATACCTACACTAGTAAAAAAGAAACACGCAAATTGGTGTTACTTTGCTATGCCCATCAGCCAATCAGGATGAGTATGCAAATTAACCCAACAAAGATGGCGGTTAATTTGCATATGCAGGCATGGAGCGAAGACTGATGGCTCCGGCCAGAGTGAAGACTGAAGACTGAAGAGGCTTGGCTTCTCCACTGGGGCCGGATCAAAGGCCTGGGTCCCTGGTGCTGGAGAGAGACCAGTGCAGTCAGCCAGGGGAAGGAAGGCCTATTGCGAGAATCTTCGTGCAACGGGCTTCTAATATATATATATATCATACAACTGTTGGAGGGACTATACCATTATTTGTGAGGAAGTTTTGCCAGATAAATGAATATAAATCTCATGAGAGTTCCGAACCACCTATTCACAGGAAATATAAGGGATTGAGAAAACTCTAAAGAATAATGTTTCAACTTGATTGGTCCACTACATAGCCAGCTAGTAAGTGAAACACTGATTCTGGGTGTGAAAGTGAGGACATTTCTGGAAGAAATTAATATTTGAATCTGTGGATGAGCAAAGCAGAGGGACTTCCCCAATGTCAGTGGGCAACATCCAATCCACTGAGGGCCTGAAGAGAACAAGCACCTGGGAAAGCTGAATTCATTCTCTGCTGGACTGAATAAGGTAATACATCTACCTCCTGTCCTGGGATCTCCAGGTTCTCAGTCCTTCAGATCCATCTGCTCTCTGACTCTCAGGCCTTCCAACTATACCACCGTCTTTCCTGACTGCAGACCGTGGGACATCTCAGGCTCCATAACCTTGTGAGCCAATATTTTATAATAAGTGTCTTTCTAGAGACACACTATTGGTTCTGTTTCTCTGTAAGCCTTTAATAATACACGGAGTAAGTAATCAGTAAAATCCTGACTGTAATAAACTCTACTGAAAATTTGATCATATTGCTTCAACAGAAATATAAACAGAAATTAAAAAAAGAAATACAGATACACACACGTTGAAGGCCCTAGCTGGCTTGGCTCAGTGGATAGAGCATTGGCCTGCTGACTGAAGATTCTCTCTCCCCTTCAATTCCAATCAAGGGCACAAGCAGGTCTATTCCCAGTAAGATGAGTGCATAAGGCAGCTGATCAATGATTTTTTTCTCATCATTGATCTTTCCATCTCTCCATTTCCATTCATCTCTGAAATCAATAAAAATATATTTAAAAAAGTAAACTAGGAATTAAAATAGACTTAAAGCCATAAAAATCAGTAATGTATAAATCTAATTTCATTTTATTTTGAAATATTTGATCAATTTTAGTTGGAAGTTGGACATTTGAGGATTAAAACAACCTGGTTGATGATTATGTTACACTGAGGTAATGAATGGCATTAGTGATATGTAAATTGCCCTGGCAGGTAGTTCTGTTAGTCCCAATATGCCGAGGTTTCAGATTAAATCCGAGGTCAGAGCACTTTACAAAGCAACAAATAAATGTATGACAGAATGGAACCACAAATCAATGTCCCTTTCTCATTTCCAATCTCTCTCTCTCTCTCTCTCTCTCTCTCTGCCTTACCCCAACCTCTAACTATAAAAAATAAACTAAAAAATAAATAATTTTAAAATTTTAATGAAGAAGTATGTAAATTAAGAGTCTCTTTTAGAAATATATAATGAAAAGTTTACAAGTAAACTCATAGAGATTTTCTGCCCAGAAATGGCAAAAAGTTGGTATGATTATAGGTAGAAGTTGCAGAAAGCATAGTTATAGAATATGGGTTCATTATACATGAGATCATAAGATTTTCTCTCCTATTCTGAATACCTAGAATATTCTATGATTTACTTTTAAAAACCTAACCATTTGAATTCCATTTTAGTGTTTCTCTGCTCTCTTCTAGCCAAGAAGGTTTCTCCTATTCCCTTCCTTAAGCTTCATCCATTTCCCTTCATCTCAGAGTTCTCAGATCCATTTCATCTTTCTCCCTCACAGCTGTTTCAAACTGGTCTCCTTTCTCCACTACAAATCCATCATCTGCTTCCCTGTTCCCACATCCCATCCCCACCCAACAAATCTCCCATACTGAGATAAATTGATATTGAGAAAAGACCAAGGCTGGCATTAAAGTGCCATCTGCTTGTAGGTTATGTGGGCTGGATTTCAGGTCTGATCTCAGTCTGCCTGAATCATCTGTTCCTCCAGAGACAGATGCAACCAGGAAAATAGAACTCAGCTTCCCTTTCAGTTTGGTGTCAGCATACACATCAATTTAGGTAAACCTCTTGGAATCTCTGGTTTTATTTTTTAAATATATTTTTATTGATTTCAGAGAAAAAAAGAGGAGAGAGATAGAAACATCAATGACCAGAGAGAATCATTTATAGGCTGTCTCCTGTGTGCCCCACCTTTGGGATGGAGTCTGTAGCCTACGTATATGCTCTTTACCAGAATCAAACCCAAGCGCTCTATTCACTGAGCCAAACCAACTAGGGCAGAAGCTCTGGTTTTAAACAAAAAGAATTTGACACCAGACACTGAGACATCATAGAAAGAGGATTCCCACAGGCAGCTTCAGACCAGCACTTCAGAGCACTTTCCACAAGGGTATTGACATAAGGGTTATTCGTTACCCCATAGGTCAGATTGGGATTCTGATATCTGTATATTTTGCAAGTATTTAGATGACGTAGGACAAGGCTAACTGAGGGACACCAGCAATAATGAAAGCATGTATCATAAAAATAACATGAATCCAAGTGATGATTGACTTATGATGTAAACTCAAGGCCCTGCTAGAGTAGCCACTCAGAAAGCCAAGGGTGGGGAGCAATACCTCCATGGCTCTCAGTTTGGTCCCACCTCCTGCACCAGTATCATCCCCACTCCCATCTTACCTGGAGCCTGCTCCTTTGAGTGAGTCCCTGAAGTGTGTCTCCAAGAAGAGTCTCTGAAGCCAGTCTCCTACCAGTTAAATGCTTAGTAATGTGACCCTGGCCTATATATACCACTAGGAGGGTGAATCTCTTTAAGAGCTCACCCACCAAAGCTCCTCCCTGGAGGTGGGACTTGAGTGTGAGGGTGGGGATAAGAGGATCTTCAGAAGTCTGGTTGATGGGATCTCCTCTTGTTCCTGCAGGCTATAGAGGACTAACCTTGTTAGTATGCATAATCTAATTTGCTCCTTTATAATCCTCCCTTGAACTTCTCACCACTCTTTAATCCCATCTTTTCTGAGGAAGAAACTGAAATGAAAAGTAAAATCTTACCCTAGCTGGTTTGGCTCAGTGGATAGAGCCTTGGCCTTCAGACTTAAGGGTTCCAGGTTCAATTCTGGTCAA